TTGTTGCTGCGAGTAACACAAAAGTACAAAGTTGCAAAAGCGAGAGAGAAATAAAGAATTTGAAGAAAAGCTCTGTGGAGCATGTACAGACTGATATTCATCTTTAATAGGGCTGTCAAAACTGCAGCTGTATAATGCTCTCCACTATCTTTGTTTAATTGGTCACATGACTGCATCACATGACTAACATGCATCATTGTTTTAGAAAGTCTCTGTTTTCACTGTTCACACTGTGACACAAACGTCTCCAAATGATTTACTTTCCGTCTGTTTGAATCGTCGCGGCAGAGGTGAGCAGCCTGATAGGAGTGGATGTAGCTGTGGGTAATGAGAAAAGATGAAAACTTTTGAAAACGACTGATAACTTTTTCGTTAAGGCCAGTGCTCTGACACGGAGCCATCAACCTCTCAGTGTCTAACACTGGTCTGCAGACGGCATCAGATAATGAGCCACATTAGATGGACTCTGAGCCCACTGACAGTAAAAGGGTGAAGTGTAGACATCTGGAAGAGAGCAGCCTGACCAGTTTCTTTGACTATGATACTGTAAAGCTGACAACATGATGCATTTACTGTGGTGAGTGTGCAAAGACCGTGGCAGGTGTTGTGCCAAGGTAGGGATCCCCAACAGGATCTGTTTCCCTGCGTCAGGAACATTGGCTGGGCAGGGAAAGCGGACCCAACCGACTCCGCCTCCATCACGACCAACTAGACGTGGAAGGAGTGATGTTTTAGTGACAACATGAAAGATGAGTGTGACCGTTCAGTTTGTGGGTTACAACAGAAATTATACATTTATTGTTCTCGTGTGTTATCGGACGGGATCATTTTAATAAACCGAGGACATTTTCCTGATAATTATCTGTATCATCCTGTAACTTTACTGTTTAAAGAGCTAAAACCTCCAACATTTCAGGATCAATAAGTCCTTACAAGACGTGTTTGTGAGCTAAAAATCAACAATGTGGGATGCTGTTTGTCTGTGTCAGCCAAACAACTTCACATGTTTTTAACGACTGTATTTATGTTCATCCCCAAAAGTTGATCCTGTTCATCTGGACGCTGCACTCTACAGCAGACACGACAATGTTAAGTTTGTGTTTGGGATGAACCAGTTTGTGTCTGAGTGTGTTGCTGGGTCTCCACCAGTTACTCTGACAACTGAAGATTCAAGATTTTTATTTTGACATTTGCACACAGGACCAACAGTCCATGCACAGTGGAATACTTGTGCAGAGCTTTCCAAGTCAAATCACACTTTAACAATATAACAATATAATAATATAAAGACAGAAAAAGCAGAAGGATAGAAATAAAGTCCGGAGTAGGGTAGTCGTACTATTTTCTATATACAAAGAAAAAGAAGAAAATTTACAGAGAGTTTGTAGTTCTCTACCTCTTATTGCATCACAGTATTGCACATTTGTTCCACAGATCTGTTTCACAAGTCTGTTGTGAGTGTATTGCCCGATGGTCAGTGAACCGATGATACATTCAAAATGAGGTTAAGTAGTGCTGTGTTATTTTAAGTGTTCAGTGTTTTTTGTTTGCCATCAGTCTGACAGTTGTGGGGAAGAAGCT